GGTCTCTTCCAACCCAGTTGATGCTATAATTCTATGATGATGAGCATTATTCCAAGAGTTCTAACTTAGTCTGCCGCTACTGAGCAAGATTTCTGCATTTGCAACAAAGGAGGAGCATTTCTGTGGAACTTCTTCACTGATGGCTGTTCACAAATTTTCCCTACTTCCATATAAAGAACAGCCCCTCAGCAAGAAAATGGTACATAGAAAAAAAATATAAATAGGGGAAAAAGTATACAGAGCAATTACAATCTATTCCAATGATTCCATGTAATACATATTATACAATACATTGTAAAGTTCTTCAGGAATAAAACTATTGCTAATTTACATAGAAATCTTTGGCTTTAAAAAAAAATCAGTTCTACACAGGTTTTTAAAAATAAACAATATTTTTTCAAAACTTTTAAAGCAGTCTTTCCTCCTGTTTTATGCCTGTACAGGGACAAGGGTAATTCAGTACAACTATTCTTAGATTCAGACTACATGACACCACATCACATCTTGTGTGCAGAACACTGGTATTGCAAAAAAACCAAACTTCTCCAGTCCTGCACCACTCACCCAAAATATTCCAAAAGCCATTTAACTGGTCCTATACAAACCATGTGCTTATTTCCACCTGTGTTTTATTTCCACTTCTACCTCCTTTATCTCTGCTAAATTTGGCAGAAACCAGAATGACCAGTAACAAGCAGGAGGGACACAGACTCTTGCAGGCAGCAAGCTCCTAACAAGTGTAAAGACAAATCAGCTCTGAGCAGAGTTCAATTTGTGTTTGTCTTTTCTCCATACACAGTCTGCCCAAGAAGTTTTTATTTTCTTATTTTCAGCTAAAGCCTCTTGAGGGTAACTCCTGAGGAAGTTCTCCCCCTCCCACCCTAACCCTCACGTACCTCTGCGATGTCATCAGGGCTGGTCAAGGAGAAGCTGTGGCCTGCTAGCTGATATGCCTTGGTCTCAATCTGGCTCAATTTAGCTTGCATGACCTGTTTCTGGGTTTCATATGCTGTTGTGCTAAAACCAATGCCATTCAGCTCCAGCAGAGCCAAGCAATAATGGGTGGGCATCTCCACTTTAGAAAATACATCTGTAGTAAGCACAAACCCCAAGAAAAACATGCATAAAAGAGATCACTTGCAGATCAACAATTCATTTTTCTAAAATATGGAGACCCCTCAGTGTTAAAAAAAAATGTCCTGACACACTGAAATCTTTTAGTATAGATTTAGTTTAAATACGTTTGTTTCTGGAATATTTCACAGTAAGAAATATTTGATAACAAGAAGTGTTCCAGAACTTTTTATCTCAAAAGTGTATAAGAAAACAGCTTCTGCCATTTTTTTCCTAAGAAATACATATATCTTTGTATATCAACATTTTATAAACCACAGACATGATTAATGTAAAGCTTTCTAACTTGATACATTTTCATTTCACCACCCACATCTTTTAACAATGTTCTAATGTTTAGCTGTAACAATTATACCTGATGTGGTAAACTTGCAATAAAATCCTTCAGTGAGACTGAACACTAATCTTAGGCTCTGGGTATAATTTAGGGGAAAAAATATAAAGACCACCAACAGCTAATTGCTTTTGGGGGTTTTTTTTGAGGGCTTGTTTTTAAACAGCAACAAGCACTCAGCAAATACTAGTGCAAACATGCTGGATCATTCACTATGGGATCAAGAGAGTTTCATGGACACAACACATACACGGCAAACAATGCCATAGGGGCAGGCCAAAAAGCAAGAAATCTCCTTCAGAAAACATTTCAGCATTGTAGGAATTGCTTCTGACAAGTAAATGCAAAACCTTTTGAAAATGTCCATGAAAAACCACACAGATCCACAAGTTTCCTCAGAATGACCAGGATACTCACCCGGAGCTGGAGATCTGACTGGTTCAGAGACTTGTAATAGATTCTGCTATTGCCTTAACCAATGGAACTGGTGGATATTTGTGAATAAAAACTCTAATTTAAATTTTTATTTTTTAACAAAGCAGATGTACTTCCAAGGGAAGTCCCCTCTTTTCTTGTAACAAATGACCATTTTGACACCGAATATATTCAGATAAGAATGCCCAAATCTCTTCTCTTTTACAATGATCATTCAGCCTGTGGTAGCATTGCTACCTTTACCCTCCATCTTTGCCCAGAAGTGGAAGAGCTCTCTTTACCTGTCAGATTTTCCTTCTGCAGTTCATGACGGAGTTGGTTCATGACATTGAAGATAAGCACAGACTCTATTGAGGCTCTGTACCTCCCAGTATGATCTCCACTGGCACTAAGCCCCAGGCTCTGCACCCCTTGGCCGGTGCCTATTCCTTCCAGCAGGGGTAACTCATCGGGGAGAAAGTTAGTCACCATGTTGTGAAGTGTACGTTCCTTAGAGTCGGAATCAAGCAGCCAACATGCAACCTTAAAAAGGAAGACCTCCATGAGACCCTTTTTCCATTTTAGTCATAACACAACACAAATATTTAACGGTGGTTCAATGCAAGCTTATAGTGCAAACTATTTTCCTTGATTTGGCAGGCAAGCTGCAAGAATTTGTGGAAAAGGTACATGATTTCAGAGAAAACCTTCAAGAGGACGTAAGTTCATTCTTGAGTGAAAATGAAAAGTTCTTTCTTTCTAAAAGAAAAGTTATTTCTGCACCTTTGAAAACGTTATCCTCTGTCAACTAAACACATCTTGAAGTGCTGTCCTCAGGTTTTTTCATTGATGAAAACCTAACATGAAGGGGATTAAATATGAAAAACAATCAAAATGTGCTTAATCTGAAAAATGACTTTGTAAATATCAGAACTTTTGATCTGGAACATTAGCCAAGCTGAGCTCTCCTAGTGTTTTGCACATCAGCAGTAGTACCAAGAATTCTGAATGGCATATTTTACTCCTGGTAAGCCTCATACCTCTAACTGTATTCAAAGCAATTTCATTTATAGCAGTATTTCAGTTTCTTGTGTCAAAATAGCATGAAACACAGGTTTCTGCATTGTCTCTCCCGTGCAAGCAGAAGGCAAAAAACATATGTGCATATATATGGGGTTGGAGAGGGTGTGTGTGTATGTATATATTCATTGCATTACTGCAATGAGTATGATTCCAACTATTACATGGAACAGTGCAGGGAAAGATGCTACTTTTGTTGGTCTTTAATTTTATCCTAAAACTGTGTCTTGGTATGAAACATCCATGCTTGTCCCTGTGTTGAACACCTTAGCTCCTTACCTGTAGACTTGAATATTGCCATGATGCTACTCAGCCTGTGTGTGATGCAAGCTGTAAAAATCAATACCAGAAATTTCTATGCATCTAGAGCTTTTCCTAACAAGGGCAAGAAGGTGTTTTTACCTCAAGCTAGTGTTTCATTTAAGTTACAAATAGTACCCAAAACTTTTGAAATGACATGTAAATTTTGTTTTGTTTTGAGAAAATAGTGGTAGCAAGGTAGTCTGTACACACAGTGGGTAAATCTTTTGCTTATGAAGTTTTCTGCTCCCAGGAGCTATAATCTGACCAGAACCACTTCTGGCATTTCAACCCCACACTTCTTATTGCAACAAAACAGTTCAGCCCTGTCCACCGGGACAGGGGAGAGATTTATCTTCACTTTCCCCACCCAAGCAAAGTATGAAAGAATAATGTGTCAACCTCACACTGAAATGGTTTCTTTGTTTCTTTTGCAGGCACCATGAACACACACAGCAAAGCAAGTGTCCTTTAAATACTGCTCTAGATCTCCCACTGGAAGAAAATGTCACTATATCCCCTGACAGGTATGCATATTCAAACCTAAATAACAGAAGGAAAGTACCAGCAGGTACCCCTGTCTTTCCATGGGTGTGGTTAAACTAGCAGTTTTACCCAAACTAAATTTTGTAATCCAGCAAACCTTTGGGTCCTCAAAACTTCCTTCCAAGGAGATGCCACAAGCCATCACCAGAGTTTTGTAGTGCTGAATGAAGTTATACATGATAAGTGAGCGCTCCTGCTTGGGCTTCTTCTGCAAATACAGCTGCAGATGATACAGTCTCTCTGTTACAGATAGGTTTTTGTCCAAAGGTGGTGGTGCCAAACTCATACTGATTTCTAAGGCAGGAAATACAAGCAAAAATCATCTTTGTATCCACTGTGTGATAAGAAAGAAAAGAAAAAAAACCTTGACTGCAATCACCTAAAGCACAAAAACTACAGTTGGACTATAAACAAATAACAATATATCTATACTGATATTACATATTTTAAGAAACCAGACAAAGCTCCCAAAAGCAATATGTAGTGTCTGTACAACCAAACAAAGGATAGCCAGGAAACAAACCCTAATCACAGGGCCACATAGCACAGATTGCACTATGTTCAGCATTCGAGTGTCAGATTTGTTCTGGAGAGCAAAAATTGGAAGATACTGAAAGAGAAAAGCAAGATAAAGTGAACATGGGAATAAGTTAACATTTCATCCATATGCATGCTCACAGTCCAGTGCTTGAGCCAATTACCTGGCCTTATTACACAGCAGCATAGATGTATCCACACCAGCATGTTCAAAAGTGTCTAACACTTATGACTGTGGAATAATATGGCTAAATTATTCCATCACACAGCCGAGCTGGGCTTGGGAAACTCACACTTACAAACACCTATCTCCTGAAGGAACTTTCTAGAACTGCAGTGTCATGTAACCCAGTACACCCTGTCTGCTCACTTACCAGCCTGGTCTTGTATCTGCTGCAAAGAGATATAGTAGGCATCTTTTCCACCCCAGCATACTGCCAGGCCAACTACCAAGATGTCTTCACAGCCTTGGACAGGAAATCCATCATCTTTAACTTGCATCCACTGAGGAGAACTCACTAAAGAAATAATTTTAAGTTACAATTATAAAGTAGCATCCATAAATACAGAAGAGTTGGGTCCTGAAAATGTAAATACATATGGTTGAGCCTAAAATTGAATATTGTCAATCTCAGTAAAGCAAAGGAGCTGAGTGTTATAGAGGATGGAGAATTGATGTCAAGCATTTCCTTTATAGGTCTTCAGTGATAGTAATGAAGTGTTAGCAGTTTGTTGAATATTCTTAGTGTCTCATTATGTACCTAATATTGAAATGGTTCTTTGTTGTGCAGTTCCTTTATCATGTGTATCATTCCATGTCATAAAATTCTGTTTTATATTTTAAAATGAATAACACATTTAACCGTAAAGTTTACAGATTGTTCATGGTCTCCCCAGACCAGTGTTCATGGTTAAATATTTTCAAATTTGCAAAATGTAAATTTGGTTCAATATAAGCATGTGTGAAATTCCTATCAGTCTCTGGGTTGTTGCAATATTGCTTTAGAGTTTTGTTTCTACAGAAGTATTTACATGCTGCAGTTTGCTGCTGGCTTATAAACATACTCTTCCTTTAAAATTACAAGATTAAGCAGGTAGAGTCTTTGTTGTCATACTGTCATAACAACAACATTTTTGAACTATCAAATATATTTTCAACAGACAAAAAATGTGAAATGTTTTTCAGAGTGGAAGGACACAAAACTTTTCTGTCTCAGCTCTTGAAGAGGTTGGTAGAAAAGGCCAGAATTTTGAAGGGATGTTATATGGGTGGTTTCATCAGAACATGAAGAAAAACTTACCTACCTTTGAGGGTGGCAGGGCACTGT